CAAAATAAGTTTGGCAAATTAACTTTGTGCAAACATGTTCAGTCCAGCCTGCATACTAATTCTTCCACTTTGGACTGCAATGCTGAGTGCGTGCTCCAAGTGGATGAGACACAGCCACAACTACCAAACTCACCTTCCCTCAAGTCAAGAGGGTTTCTGCATTTTCAGGGGAGAAAAAAAAAATGGTCTTGAATCATCAGTAGCAAATTTTTTCCACGTTATTTCCTTTCCTTTTGAGTTAGAACTTGGAGTACAAGTGTTCGAACCAACCTGAAAAGCTGCTTTCATTGCCGTAAGTCTGTCTCCCATTGCCCCAGTGGATGGCTTGTATGCCTCATAGTTACTCATCACACTGTTGTTGTTTCCACGGTCCTATGCAAAAAGACAAAGGACAACTGGAGAGATTTATCCAACACAGACACATTCAATTCAACCGTTCTCTGAATCTATCTTGACCCTGCACTCAGGAAATACATCTATGAAGGATGACTAACTTCTGGAGAGCACTGAGCAGCAGAACAGTTTGCCCCATGACCTTGAGGATGACAGAAAAGTAAAGATGCATTAAGTCTTAGTGACTCACTAGTCCACAGTATAACCGCATTTCCCAGTTCCTTACAGTCCAAGCAAAAGCAAAATGCAATCAAATTGAGATCTTCACAGGGGTCATAGCCAAGACAACGTGTGAACAAGGCTTCAGCTGTGACTTCTGGAAAGATGCTGAACATGATGTGTGTTCAACATGTCTACAGTTAAACTCTGTCCCCACACATCTTGGCAATGAGCTGTTTTCCTAGCATGGATATAACTTAGTAAGTGTTCCCAATGCTGCAGGAATTTTTGCTGCCAAGAATCAGCCTGGAAATGGCTTTTCAAGTAATTTATTAACATTTATTTTGCATCGACAGTCTCTTTTGGGAAGAATTTCCAAACCTTCTGAAGCGCTCTGGCCCTAAAGAAGGCAGCTCTTGACAAGAGGGTAACAGCACAGGACAGTTTAATTTGAGATATTTCTGATATTAACTCTGAAAGATTCGGAGCTATGAAAACATTTGAAAGCAGAGGCTATACTCCAGTACTAAGATTTTTTAAATTAAAGAGAAGTCAATACTAAGTATAAAAGTTCCAAGAATCTGTAAACGACTTCTTCAGCATTCCTACTTACAGAATTTTCTGATCCCAGACCAGGACGTTCACGGTATCCTAAGCCACCACCACCAATATTCAACTTCTTGCCTTTTCCTCCTTTGAAACGTGATTTCCGGAACCATGGATTCTGTGCAAAAGAAGGACAAATGCTTGTCAGCATGGGGAATAAGCAGCTTCATACATGCATGTAATGAGGCTCAGAAAAGGAAGACTTTGAGCACTTCAGAAAAAGAATATAAATACACTGTTTCCAATTCAACAACACGGCTGTTGCAAGGGGATGGGATGTGACAGACTACAGCGCTTTGAAACTAAGCTGTAGAAAGTTGTCATGTGGGTCTGAAGCTTTTTGTTACAAATGCTTTTTATGAAAACTTTTTGTCCTGAACTTCCATCCATGTTAAAGTTTTGGGGGGTTGTATTCTAATAAATCCAGGAATAAATGCAATCTGTAATGCCATTTACTTGGGAGCTCTGCATTTGCTCATACTTGGCTTTTATTGATTTAGCCCACTGCCTGGCTAAGGAGAAATTAGGTTGTGTCAGCAAAATGTCCTGCAACAAGCAGTGGCCAGGAAAGGGCAGTCCAACGAGACTTCCCGTTACCAGGTTTTTAAATAATGGTTGGTTGCACCTCTTTTTATGCCCTGTAGTTCCTTCAAACCTGAAGAAGCCAGTGACCCAAGCCAATAAACTATCCTCTCAAAGGCAGCTTCTGCCTCACAAATTCTGTCCCTTCTGAAAATGCTGCCTCTGTACCTCAGAAAAAATATTTACTTCTAGCAGCTGATGTCCAAGCTCCTCAGCAATGAGGCCACAAGCATGCTAATCTATCTCTGAATTTGGGAATTACCAAAACGCCTTTGCTCTCTTGCAGCTACATGGGCAGGAAAAGACAAGAACTTAGAGAGTTGATGAGTACAGTGGCACAAGTACAGTTTCTTCAGCTATCCGTCATACCTATATATAGCAAGCCTGCCAGACAGCACTGCCAAGCAGGTATAATGATCAAGCAACAACTGTTTCACAGACTGAACATCTCTGTAATTATTTTCTAGTTTACCTTTCAACTAAGCTGTATTTCCCAGGTGGCTTCCATAAATGCATATTGAAAATCTAATTGTAATGAGATACTGGAGCTGGAGTACTCTGCTGGCATCAGCCAGATTACAGCTCCTAATTTCCTATGCAGTGCCTGACCCCAAAATAGATCACATACTGTGTTTCAAAATCTTCATGTCTTTCCGGATTCTTTCAAAGGCCATAAAAACCAATAGAAAGCCTATTTAAAAAACAGTATAGGTTACCAAAAGGTCATTGCAAATGTATGATAGAGCCAGAAACAAGTCCCTGAGCTCCTGATTTTGTGCTAATCCTGGAAGAAACCTTCCTCTACTCAATGAGTTTTGCTTGTTCGTACCTGCATTGCTAGATCCAACAGCTCTTTGGAAACATGTTGATTGGCGCCTTCCAGATTTCTGACAAGATCACCAGCGAAGTTACTGTCTTTGGGAGTCAGCAGAGTGTAGGCAACTCCCTTCTCGCCTGCTCTGCCAGTACGACCAATTCTATGGGTGTGCGTATCTATGTCCCGAGCCACGTCATAATTGATCACAGTCTTAATGGAAGGAATATCTAACCCACGAGCTGTAATAAAGAACACCACAGCGGTAAGTGTGATTATCCTGAATGAACTCAAAGCAATCCCATTCATACCAGCACATCACCTCATTCTGCTCCAGCACACGAAAGGAGCTTCCACAGAACGCCCCCCAGTTAAGACACCATTCCTAGGCTAAAATTCTTTGTTATCTTAAGTGTAGCAGTATCTTCTCCAAGAGTAGTGTAAGTTACATGGATCCCCAAATTCACAGGATTAGAGATGGAAGAGATCTCTTTAAATGATTGCTGTTCCAAGGAAGAGAGGGGGCTTTAATAAAGGACATTGAAATTCACTCTGTTCAGCTAAACATCTGGGTAAAAAAGCTGTTCTAGAGAAGGCTTCAAGTGTGTCCACTTCCTCTTTGTTTAAGCATGCATAATGTGTCAGCTGATTAACGAAGAGCAACTTCTTCCTTAAGAGCGAGCAGATTTTCTTTCTGTATATTATAAAATATCTGTCAGACTGTAATTTAAACATAATTAAAAGACTTTAAAAATAAATCCCCTTGCTAGTACTGTGTACTCCTGAAAAAACGTCTGGAACACAGTGCTCAGCAGGTGTAGACGCCAACCTTGTTGCCTTCCACAGACTTGTGTTAGCCTTTCTGCCAATGTCCACAACTTGTACGAGCTGCTGTTTCTTAGAACGTCACATACCTGCCACATCAGTAGCTACCAGTATCGGGATCCCCTTTTTCTTAAATTCTGAAATGACTTTATTCCTCTCACTCTGGTCCATGTCACCATGAAGCAGCCCTAGATTATGATCCTCCTGCTTAAGGTTATTGGCCAGCTCTTCCGCATTTGCCTTCTTGGTGACAAACAGGAGAACGCTCCCAGAAGATGTGAACTCCACGAGGCGTCGAGTCAGCCAGTTCCATTTGCTAGGGCCAGAGGGGAAAATCTCCACAATTTGAGTAACATCTTCATTTGCCTAAGGGGAGAAACAAGAGAAACAATAACGCAGGACATAAAGGACAGTATGGCAAACACACACAGATGGCAGAATAAAATGAGGAATTTAAACTAGGTGCAAGAAAAGCGGAGAAGCAGGGCACCAAAATCCTCCTTTTAAAGAGGTTTCAGCTCTCTCTCCCTTGTCTAACTGTTGACCACTTTATCTTCACAGTACAGAAAAGGCAGAGGTTAAATGAGCTACTCTTTGATAAACCTGAGAGAGGCAAAGTGCTTTGACATGATGCAGTTTAGCACCCTACTGATCTAAAGATGGACACTTAAAATTTAGATGCTCTTGTGACAGATGCTATTAACATCTAAAATAGACTGTGCAAGAGCAGAGTCTGAGATGGAGAGGATGCTCATCAGTAAAAGTTATTCATATGGCGATCAGAGAAAGTACCCCTGTAAGCTGTGCTGTGTGCTTGGAGTCAGGAAGCAGGGAGGAATAAACAGACTACCTACACGCTCCATATTGCAAGTAATAAAAGTGCAGTGGAGCACCCAGCACTATCTGGAAGTTTCTCTGAAAAATTAATTTTTACATATTTAACTACTAGTGATTTCAAGGATGATGCTCTCAGAATAATAATTTAGATCAAAGAGCAGAAACCCTCTGATTGAGCTAGGAAAGCCACTTCTTTTCTTAAGCAATGTTTAGGAAAAATGTTTTCCCAAAAAGAAGGGCTTCAGGTAGCCATTAATTGTTTTGTTATAAAGGGATACCTCACATTCCTGATTGGAGGAAAAAAAAAAAAAAGCAGAGAATTGGTTAAAAGATTGTTCTGAAGGCATCTTGTAAAATTTCTCAAGTTTTCATATATTATAAGCAAAGTTTCTTCACAGCAAGTATACATCTGCCCACTTCATCAACTTATTACCAAATCCCTAGTCTGCAAATAGTTCAGCTGCTACTGTCAAGCAAGTATAGAATCAACATTCCCACGTAAACCAGCTGAAAGACATTACAGCCTAAGTTTCAAATCCTTCATTGCTAAAGCTGTAATTTATTTATAGTTTTGAGACAAACCAAAAGGATATACCCATTGATTCAGTCTAATTAAAAAAAAACCAAAAAACAATCAATCACTGCATTACTGTTGTTTCACCCCTTGATGAAACCTCCCATCACTACAAGAAAATTTGTTGGCAGAAAGAAAGCTCAATAAAATTAAAAACCAAAATCTTACTATTTTTAAGTTAAGCACAAAGTATTTACTCTTAAATATAAATGATGACTACTGCAGTTTACCATACATTTCAGACAACAGAAACAGAATAGTTAATTTCTCCAACGGTCTCAGAAGTAATGTGGAATTACCTCTCCAATGTCTCCCTGCACAACTCGAATCGGGTCGATCAGAATATCTCGAGCCAATTTCTCAATCTTCTTACGGAAAGTGGCACTGAACAAGAGGGCTAAAAGATAAACAGTATTTGAACTCCTTGAAAAATACATTTTCTTTAACACTGCAGAGATCTTGTGAATCAGAACCTGTATAACTGTACTGGATGTCAGTAATCTGAAGCTAAAGTCTGTTTTAGCGGTTGTAATGAAAATTAGCAATCACGCTATCAGAATAGCTCAAAGTGGAAACCCATTTCACGGCATCTGAAACGAGATGTGGATAATAAGTGGCACTGCTGTGAATGTTCTTTCATGGCAGCTCAGAACACAGGATCTCAAAGCACACTAATATTAATTCAGCTAATCATCTTTTCCCTGAGTAAAGCCTGTGGAGGGATTAGAGACTGATGAACAAGTGTGGGATTTTAAGCACACTCACAAGTGCTCCCTCCCAACAGCCCACGCTGAGAACTGACACCAGTGGGCTCTCATGAAAGTCTCATTGTGTGATTGCATCAAGAACAGGAAATCCAATCTCTGTTTCAGATTCTTAACTGGCACCCACCACATAGCCTCTCTCGACTCTCAGGAGTTTAGTTTGAAACAGGCTTATACTTACTCTGTCTGTCTGGACGTACATGGCTTGCAATTGATCTGACCTGATACTCTGGAAAGGAAAGGGAAAATGTTCTAATCAACACTGTACGCTCATTAGTTAGTAGAATAACTCAAAATACAACTTGATTGCTTTATTTAACCATAGAATGAATGGGTGCCTCTCACTCAGTATTTAATGTTAGACTGTGACTTCCAGGTGCTCTTTGCTGCATAAGGGAAGTTCCTTCACTCTACAAAGAGACTTTTGGGAAGTTCTTTCAGCAAAATGTTCCGTAAGCAGGGATCCCAGCTGAGTCTGTGCACACCCTGTACATCTTAGAAGTGTCTCCCTCTGTTTGTGGTATTATAGTACTGCCAAATCTTTGTCATGTCCCATGATGCCTGAGCACATATTCAAAATCATCCAGATCTGAATGACCAAACCTCTTCCAATAACGTAGAAAGTTCTTTCAACACCACTAGTTTGTGCACACAGAACCAAAGCACAGAAGCGACTCGCCCAAAAAAGTTATTTAGCAACCCTAAGATAAAAATCAGCGTTTTTGGACTTCAGCCGGACTTTGCTGATCTCTTTATAGCAACAGATATTAGACATTGAAATGTGATTTTTGTCTATGAAGTATTTCCTTAATGTATTTTCAAGTATATGAAGCCACAGTGGTTATAAACAGTCCTACTAAGCTGGGAACTAGACATCACTGCTCTCCAAAACAGTGACCTTTGTTCATTACATACCAAAACCCATATCAAACATTCTGTCAGCTTCATCAAACACAAGGTAAGTGACTCTTTGAAGGTTTGTAGCTTTCTTTTTCACATGATCAATTAAACGGCCCTATTAAAAAACAAACAAACAAACAAGTTTTTAAGCATATTTAAGAAAATGTTAACATATGCAACCTTCAAGCACTTAACTGCTTTTTATCCTGACTTACCAGAGACTTAGAACAGAAAACATCTCAAGGGTTCAGTCTAGAAGTAAGAGTCAGTATTCAAGTCACAGAAACAGACTCCTGAAGCTCTCATCAACCATACTTGACAAGCTGAATTTTAGGACTGGATTTTCAAGGTTAACAGCCCTGAGATCCTAAAATTCCCTAGTCTTCATTACAATTAAATTTTAATAGCGAACTGGCTATTTAATACCTTAATATTTGGCATAGGAGTTCTTCATGCTTTGTTTTCTTGCCTGGTATCCCAATAAACAGCCACAATAAAACTTCCTCCAACCATTAGTTGCTCGGTTTTGCCCAAGTCTGTAACTAGTTTTTGCAATAAGCAAAGTCAGTTGACAATGGTGCTCAAAGCTGGAGAGGAACTGTTTACAAGGGCATGGAGTGATAGGACAAGGCGTAATGGCTTTAAACTGAAGGAGGGTAGATTTAGATTAGATATTTGGAAGAAATTCTTCCCTGTGAGGGCGGTGAGGCCCTGGGACAGGTTGCCCAGAGGAGCTGTGGCTGCCCCTGGCTCCCTGGCAGTGTTCAAGGCCAGGCTGGACGGGGCTTTGGGCAACCCGGGCTAGTGGAGGGTGTCCCTGCCCATGCCAACCCAAACCATTCTAGGATTCTATGATGATTCTGTGATTTAAATCACTGGTTCAGCATCAACACCTATTCTGATTTAATGTTTCAACCCTTCAGTAATACTGCCACAGGCTCTACACTGATTCAGTAAGATGACACTCAAGTTCATGACATTCTGGTAATTTTCTTCATTAATTTAAGGCTCAGCAATCAGAAGCTGATATTGTGCACAACTGACACCAATTCAAGCAGATCTTGCTTGCTACTCTTTCTTCTATTGGAGATCACACCTAATCTCTTTCAATTTCTCTTGGGAGAAGAATAATCCCAGCATATTTGCTCTCAACATCTGATAACCTGTTAAGAACCTAGATTTCAGTGATCAGAGAACAAATTCTACATCACCAATGGTGTTAAAAATCTGTCTCAGCTTCAAAAAAATTGTACGGTGTGCATGCAGGTACTCACCGGTGTGCAGACAACTATCTCTGCCCCCTCCTGGAGGGCTTTGGCTTGCTCCCACATGCTTCCTCCTCCGTATACAGCTACAGAGCGCAGGTTATATGCCTTACCAAAGCGCTTACATTCAGAATGGATCTGAGAATTTTAAACAAAGCACATCACAGTTCACATTAGACAGATCTGAGAAAATGTATCTAGCTTGAAAATATAGTCCAGCTCCAAAATCCACTTTTCATCTAATAACTTACTGAAATTATTCAGAAATCCTCAGGGCTAAATACTTCAATACTTGTGGATAATTTCCCATAATTTATTTGGGAAACCTATTTAGGCATCCAATCATAATTTAACCTGCAGGCTCCATCCTTTTACACATACAATTTGCAGCAATGCATCTGCAGCTTTCTTAATACTTAGGAATAATATGGGAGCACTGTGCAAAAACTAACAAGTTCAGATTTGTTATGATCCTTCAAAAAAAAGAGGTGTAAGAAATTGTGAGCTTAAATTGGAGGCATGCTACTAATGCACAAAATAGTTTTTTCAAATAGTTTACTGAGGTTATCTGGTAATTTCTGCCCAGAATTTTGTCATCTTCTATAAGAACACTGCGTGGTACATATATGCCTACTATACACCTACCTGTTGGCAAAGCTCTCTGGTCGGGCACACGATCACTGCAATGGGCCCATCCCCTGGTTCAAGCTCCTTCTGATCCATGATGTGAATCAACATTGGCCAGATGAAGGCTGCTGTTTTTCCGCTTCCAGTCTTAGCTATCCCAATCATATCTCTGCCACTTAGTGCAACTGGAACACCCTAAAAATAAGGAGATTCTAAACCCATATTATGCCTACCTTAGCATATTCTTGTGCTAGACATTACATGAAAACTCAGATAACAAGTGAAAAGCACATTACAGAGGACTCATAGCAATGCATGTTGATGCTTACACAGTTTTATTGCCAAGTTCAGGTCTGAATTGGTTTGGTTTAAGGGCTGGAAGCAATTATCATGTTATGACTGTTCTACATATGCAATAGAATCCCTTTTGCACACGCAGCTCTCCAAGTAATGACCAGTTAAATGGTCATACTCATAGGTCACTTATTCTAACTCCCAGAAGAAATTTAAAAAATGCCTTGTTGCATACCTCTTCTAGTTACAAGACAGTAAAATATAAGCTGTTTAAAGGAATAAGGTTGTCAATGTATGGCATTCAGCTACTGCTATGGTTATTTTTAATACAATTTCTAAAAAAAAAAAATCTTTCATAGATTTCTATAAGCAAGAGATGCCACTTGCATGTTCTTCAGTCTTCACCAAGAGACAAATGAAGAAAAGAATATGGATATATTTAGAGTGGTCATTTAACAAGAAAAAAAAGTGCATAAACTTTGATATAAAAAATATCAAAGCTATTTTCCTAGAAAAATACAAATTATTCTTCTCTGTCACAGCTCTATGTAGGAAACTAGAATTATATACATCCTTACACGGACTAGAGACCTTCGCATGTGTTCAATTAGTTCCGTTTAGATGTTAGAGAAGTAACAACACTCACCTGACATTGTATAGGAGTGGGCTGGGTATACTCGGACTTCCTAATTTGATGCATAAGTTGCTCATCAAACCCAAAATGAGCAAAGCTACTGCCAGGCCTCGGAGGAGCAGCACCAGAGACCTTAGAAACAGAAACGTGTCTTTGTTCATGAACAGTGAAACAAAGAGCAATCTGTACAAAAATGAAAAAAAGTGTCTCTCTACCTCTGAAAATGACTTTTTATTTTTTGAATAGACATAAGTTTAATTAGGTGCAATTTCCAGATGTGTTGGGTAAGAAAGACTTTCAGGTATAAAAATTTAGATAAATTGTCAATCAACACAAGCTACTAAACATCATACCTTCCTCCTTGTATAACTGGTCTCCTTCCTCCCCAAATAATTCCCTTCACAGAAAGGCACCACACTAATATGTCACAAATGGCAAAGAATTAATTCTTGCATATAATATTTCTAGTTTCAATTCCTAGTTCTTTAGTCCAAGTGCAACCATGCAACTGGCAATCTTTGGTGCCCACTTTTATAAGTCCAGAGAAGACATTCAAGAGCTGCTGAGGAAAACCAAGCTCCCTTAAATCAAAGTCACCGAAGGTATCTAAGAGGCCTGGTATTCAAAAGCTGGAGTTTCCTGTGAAAATCTTTATTAAAACTACTAGGACAGTCTAAATAAAAACAGGAGGAAAAAGATCCTAGGAGGATAGTTTTGTGACGAACTTACCCGGAGATTTAGCTTATGACGTAACTCCACCACTTGCTGTGGGGTGAGACTGGTGATCTCCTCATGCTCATCATAGAAATTTTTCTCAAATGGTGGATATTCAATCTGCAAGGGAATTACTCAGTTAGTCCAGGACTCAAGATTCTCTCTCTGTACGCTTAGTTTTGAGGAAAAGGGTCCTTTTGAGAAAAAGTTCCTAATTATCTGCAAGAACATTAGTTTCATACAATGTCATTTGAAAGATCTTTAGGATGACAAGTGGCACAGTACTGAAATACTACCTGCCAACATTGATGCACAGGGATGGAACCGTATTTCAATCTACATCTTGCTTTCTAGAATACCTCATACAGAACAGAATAGAATAAACTTCCTACCTCTGAATGGTCAATAGGTGGAAGAGGATCAATGATTTTTTTGGATGGTGCAATTGGATTGCCATCACTATCATACTCCAGGTTATCCTCTTCCTCTTCTTGGACCACACCAGCAGTGGGGTTTTCAGCCATATAGCGAAAATAAGCTTCCTGCAGCAAAACATATCAGTAAAATCACATACAATAGGATGTAAAAATACGACTACATTTGTTTAAATGATGTATACGCTAGAAGGCTGTTTGCTTTCACCATTGCTTTCCCACCATTGAGGGAAAAAAAAAGTTGACTAGAACTGGTTCTTCTAATAAACATCAACAGTTATGTCCAGAAGAAGGACAATAAGTACAAATGAGGAGAACAACTATAGTGTCAGTTAGATCACAAAGTGTTTTTAAAAAACAAACTTCTTTTACATGTCTGCTTAACAACTCCTTCTACCAAGACTTGTTACGCTTTAACAATAGAACCATCTAGTACAAACGCTGCAGGTTTTTAAACAAAGAACACAGTATTACTAAGCATATGACATTTACTTTTTTTTTTTAAACACACTATGCCAAAGATAGTTTCTCCACTTCCCCTAACTAGACTCTAAGAAATGAAAACATATCTATTTTTCATCAAGAGAGTCAACGGCAAACAAGAAAGAAAGAATTTCAGAATTCTTCAACACAAGCCCAAGTTCAAAGTCACTGTCACCACTGTAACATGCCATCCTTACAGCTCACAAGTACGTACGCATCTTACAGAATCTCACTGGCACATCAAGACATTCTCATGAGAAAACATCAGTCTCACTTGACTTTCAGGCAAATATTTAAGATCAGATTTTTAAAGCAAGGTTCAATTGCAAAGGAATATATATACCCATCTGTTTTTTTCATTTGCATAGCCAATTATCACTCAGTCACATAGATATGCATACAATAGACTTGAACAACAGCTGTCTACAAGTCTAAGTCACCTTTGCTCAAACTTTAGCACAGCTACACTCACCAAATTGGAAGCAAAGGCCTAAAGGCCAGACAACCCTTCCGTGCTCTGCATTACTGTGAGTAACACAATAGTTATTAATTACAACTTAGCAGTAAGGTACGTTTTGAAATGAAGTCTTTTCTCTTTATTGTTTCTGTTATAGTGATGCTTATAATCCTCAATCAGAACTGGAGTGCCTCTGAAAATAAAGAGCAAAAAGCCTGATTCTTGCCCTTAACAGACATGAAATTTCACTGCAAACAGCCTCCACAGTTTAACAGCCACTCACTGATGCTCCATGTTAGTTGATTCTGTTAATTTCAAATTTGATGAGACCCTCAAATACTGAAAAACCTGTACAGGAAGTTGAAATTCAAATTGACTGAAAAAAAATATCTTCTTAAACAGAGTAAAAAAGAATGAAATTGTCTCCTAATATTCTTCCTTTTTTTAGTGAAACACCTAGAAAGGTAGAGGCAGCAGGGTAACCACTACAGCTTCCTTCTGAATTGTCCGGATACTGCACATGATACTGGAGTTTTGTTTGTACCTAGTAGTTATATATTTGGGGAGGGAAGGTTAAAAAAAAAAAAAAAACAACACCAAAAAAAAACCAAAAAAGAAAATAGAAAGACTGCATAGGAACTCACTTGGTCATCTTCCTCTTCAATGTCATCTCGAATACCCCTGGAAAAACAAGCGGAGAAAAAAACTTCCCTGCAAGTGTTCCACATACTCAGCTCCATACTTTCATTTGATTAGTGCTGAGCTTCATATTTTGTGGAAGACACAACACTAACAACTCAGTAACATTTATAATCCCAACCCATGGAGTTTTCATATTTGGTGCCAACCATAAAAGTGACCCTGCAAAGACTTCTGTTTACTTCTATTAATGAGACTGAAAGATTAGGACTCCGTCTTCCCAGTAGAAGCCACATCAAAGATCATCCTGGTCTAAGCTCTCGATGCTACGGAAGTCCCATAACTGAAGAGGAATATGAGCCAGGAAGTGCAAATCCAGTTCAGAACTTCCCCGGGTGGTGATTTGGATCCGGTGTTCTGTTTCAGGACCATGTATAATCTGATCAACCCCATGCAATGCAAGTCCTATGAAAGTATCTGACATTTATATCAAGAATCAACAGCATAATTATTTTCCTTGCTCAAAACAGAGAGATAAGCTGCAAAAATGTAAACTCTTTTAAACTCCAAATTTAGTATCCCAATTGTCATGTGCTACCTAATATATCAGCTTTCCAGGGAATCACTTAAAATCTAGTTATAGCTTTAAAGAATCTCCAGTACTACAGGTACAGCAGCACTGAGTTACTTTGCTCACATAAATGCAATTTTAAACCAAACCATCCTGATCACTGCCAGGATGGGGAAAGATGAAAAACTATTCAGGCTGATGTGGAAGGTGGTAGCAGTACAATGTGCTGCCCCAATTTGTGTGGCCTAGAAAGGCTTCTCATGTGAGATAACTCTCAGTGTCGTTACATTTTACTGTAGGATGCTGCCATGGATTCTTCCCTCCTATTATTCAATTTTCATTGCACAGAACTTTACCCATGGGGGATATTATGTGCTGGTTAATGCTGTTTACTAGGGATATATTACATTGTCTACAGAACAATCATCATCAACAAAATGCATTGGAATTCTCTTAGCACCATACAAGACACAGGCAGGCATGGGAATTATAAAAGAGAACTTACTTAACATTCTTTTTTTCTTTGTCTTTATCTTCAAGTCTCTTCATGTCTCGAGCAGCTTGATCCTAATGGGTCATAAAATTATGATGTTAAGAAAACCACGATGATAAAACACAGAAGGGAAAAACGTTCCTACATAGCTAGACCATCATGCCAGAGACAACATTTTTTGGACTAACCTTTCTCTTGTTCCACATCCTATTATGCTAAATAAATTCTCATACTAATATCTTTGAAATCTATATACTGTAACTTCAAGGCAATGTTGTTGAAAAAATATGTTCTCTGCATTCCTCCTGAAAACACTGTCATAGAATCCAGCTAATAACAGAACTGTAGCTAAGGAACAGCTCATGATAAATACAAATCATTTCAATTCAGGTAGTGAAAAATGCACAAAACCTTAATTTCATATTCAGAGACAAAGTTCTCTGTTATATTGCCTTGACATGCTCAAAACAGTTAAATAGTTAAGCTACTGTAAATCATATCCACCCTCTCCCCATCTAATCCACCTCTGAGTTCTAATTAACACAGCATCTTACATAAAAACCAAAAACTAAGTGACATTCGGAACACAGCTGCCAAAGCCATGAGTGACATTTGCTGCTCCTGACTGGAGAGAAGTATGGCCACAGAAATTAATAAACATTTCACGAGCTGGGTCTTGCCTCCACTTCAGCCATGAATGCCTCCAGAGGATCATCATCGCTGTCAGAGTCTGCTGATTTGGAATGAAACTGCTGGCGAGTGGGGGAATTCTCTGCGGGAATGTACGGCAATTCGACATTGCTGGAATCTTCCTCTTCATCCTCAAAGTACCTGAAAGAAAACGAACAACGGCCCAGTCAGCACATAGTCTGCAGCACTGTGCTGTCTTTCATCGTTCCTAAGTCAAGTTTCCCACACAGAGATGCATAATAAAAGTCAGTATGTACACAGGGAAAGATGTTGAGATTTATTTCTTTACAATTATTCATGCTGTAAGCTAGAAGTGGTGGCAGGGCAAATAGATACTATGAAACTGATCTTCTTGAGTGGCTCTCCCAGGCTAGTGAACATAGGATGCTTTTCTGACCTCCCTTCTATTCAACATATTTATGCAGCTAATAGAAGGGTTAGTAAAGAATTGTGGAGCTGAATGTTTCCCTGTGCAAAAGACAGCCAAATTTATCCTGCTTGGCTCCAACTCTGAACACATCAGAGTGTGAATAAGATTGAGCTGACTGAGGCTCAGCTGAGGTATGTTCTTAGAGAGAGGAAAGCTAGAGGAGGAGAGCTCTCCATGGGCTGCTGTAGTAGCTCACAGTCTTTTAAATATATTTAAAAGGTAAGGATGTATTATTATTCTCATATCTGGGCTGACACCCAGAAAAAAGGGTAAATAATCAGCCCAGGGTGACACCAAAAGTCTGCTGCAGAGCAGGGATGGAAGTTCCTGCATGAGGATAACTCAGTTTTTCTTGATACTATTGCTGTAAAGCTACCGGTGTTCCGTTACACCATAACGCAGTGTTAAGTGTTTATCCTTGAGCACATTTTTTCTAAATAAGTAAACCAAATAAATGTCACAGATGCTTTCCCTGACCTTGGAAACTTTAAAATACTAAAATCTAGACCTAGATAAACACAAGGAATAACTGTACTTACGCATTCTCTTCATCAAAATTTGCTCGCTTTGACCCAATTTTGTAGAAAGAAGGCAGCTGAGGAGGTCCTGATTTCGCAAATGCAGCAGAAGAACCGGCTGTTCCAAAAGCACTATGAGACTGTTGAGAGAGCTTAGGCTCCTCTTTTTTTCCAGGTGTTATGGCAAAACCACCAAAACCAAAGCCTCTCTTAGTACCAGGTCCACCTTTATTCCAATTCATGATGTCCCCAATGTATCTGTTAAAATCAGAAAAGACAAATTAATGCCCTTTCTGCTTTAGGCAGTTATGTATAATTGTCACAATTTTTCTTGTAAGTGAATTACTTCAGTCATGATAAAGAGACTTGTGGAAATGTGACTGACAAGAGTTTGATCTGTTTCCCAAAAAAAGGATTTGGGCTTTGTTCTTTTTCTATATGTTTGAATGCATGCATAATACCAAAAAAGAATAAAACAAAGAGGTTGTCTTCTAAAACAGATCATGTCCATCAGTGACTACTCAAGCGTATTTAAGACGTTGCCTGTCTTGTCTGTTTTAAAATCTAAGAGAAACAAACCCAAGGCCAGAACTTTGAACATCAGGAGGAACAACAGATGAAAAGTCAACTCAGAACATATTTTGCATGTCCATACAGTCCCATCCTTGAGTGTTTCATGGCTTTTTAAAGACCACAGTACTGCAGTCCAGACGTCACTAGAAAAGCAGGCCCAAAGCAGCACACAACACACCACTCCATTATGAGACAAGGTACACTTCTGCCAAAAAGTCAACTCCCTCTTCTTAAGAAAGCATCTTTAACCATATATATATTTATGTTCTCCAAACTAAATTTTTCAAATCACATTTTAAATACTCCACATAACATGCCTGCCCAGAACTTGTTTTTCTTAGATGAAGAGATGACTGAACTGATATACCAACATTTACATTTCCCATTCTAAGTAATTCAATTATTTCATCTGCATGGTCAAGTCAGTCGTATTTTTAAGGCAGCCAAAGACAGTATGAGAGCCACTGCTCTCAAGTGCATTATAATTAGATGGCCCAAACGCTACAAGTCTTATTAAACAAATCCTCGCATTCAGTGAGAATCCTCCAACGAGATCAGAATTCACTGGTAAGAGAAACAACTTCAAATTAATCTAAGAGTAAATACTACTACTGCTCCCTGTGCAGAATATTCACCAGCTTGGAACCAGCTCAATAAATCTCAAGTTTAGACCAGAGCTCACTAGGAGACTTTGAGGGAAACTCTGCTGTTCAGTTCTTATGGTACCAGCTGAGTCCGGTGTCCTGTTCTCCTGTTTGCACTGACACACTTTGCAGCTTTCACACCTGCAGATGCATGGCAGGTAAGAGATCAAAACGTACAACAAACAGATGAAAGGCGTAACCTTGCACTTCTACTGCCGACAGCCCAGTGGGCAATCTTTAAAGTTATACTGTCTGATTTTAAGGATCCTTCCTCACTGTACTTACCGACTTTCCCCCCCCCCGCCACTACCCCAGAAAATAATCATTCTTTTATTCTGTGACACAGCTGCAAAAGTACAAAATTTGGTCTGCTTGCCCACGGAGCCCACTAGTGAGTGTGCAGGGAGAGGGTTCCTACAGGACAGCGACGAAAGGCAGAGTGAGAGCACAGACGAACTGCCGAGGTTTTGCTTCCCTGCGAACGCCGCTCCGAAGGAAGAAACGCGAAGGCAGGCACCCTTTCTACGGATTCCCTGGATCAGATGGAAACGCAGCAGTATGTCTCAGCTGCTCTCGTTTCTGGCGGTTGCTGAAGAGAGGAGGGACCCCCCCGCACGCCGAGA